AACAGATAAAAGTTTTATTTTCAAAATTGATGAAAATCAGATAAATAATTCAATATTAAGTAGAGTTATAGATCCAAAACATGCAATGTATCATGAAAAACAAAAGATTACCCAAACTATTGATAATATATAATTTCATGAAGAAACTATAAATTTTCAGGGAATACAACTATATAACAATATTAATAATGAACCTTATTGTTGTTATGATTATTATTATAATTTCTTGGATTCTTATGCGAATGATTTAAATTTAGAAATAAAAAATAGAAAAATTCATTTGATAAAAGAATGTGAAATCTATAGAATACTAAAAACAAATTAATTATTAATTATACATATATTATTATTATTAAATTTATAAAATAAATTCATGCTTCTAGATGTAAGGCTTGGAATTAATCAATGAAATTCAAATCTAATTAAAATATATGAAATAACTTGAATTTGCATTTTCCATCCTACAACTGTGAAATGGCTCCGCATTTCACTTCTTTGAACACATTCCACTATGCCTGATGAAGAAGTAATTGAAGAGGCATCATTTTCAACAATGTTTTATTTGTTTATTCATTTTGTTTATTTTATTTGTTTTATTCATTTATTCAAATTATTTGTTATTCAAATGATAACTCTAAGTTGAGCAAGCTCAAAATTTGAATTTCAAGTTTGAGCTGAGTTCAAGAAAATAGGCTCTTAAATTGTTTTTGTCCATAAATAAATATGAATAGTAAATTAATCATTACCTAAAAAAAATTAATGCAACATCAAACTCGAGCTCAGCTGATTTAGAGCTTTACTAATGGCATTACAACAATTAAAAAATCCATGCTTATAATTATGAAAGAGATGGCTTGGAATTAGATGAAATTGATATTTGGGATATTGTCATTCAATCGGGGAAATGAGAAATCAGACAAAAACATTTTATTGTGTTGAAAAATAAAATAGAAGATATTATCATCCCTCTTTTCAAATGATTTTTCTGTTTAATATATTGTCACATTCACCTTCTTACTAAAATTCCATATTCTTTTCACTACTTTTGTAATATATAGTATTAAAGACATTATAGATCTTACAATCATTAATCACAGGATCAAAATCTGCTTCTTTATAATAATAATAATAATAATAGTAATAGAAATTTCAACTCAGATATCAAAACAGATAAATTTAAAAATTACCTTCAATTTATCAATTGTTTTATAATTCATTTTTGATCATCATCACTACTATTAAAAAAGAAAGGTTCATTTAATCAAAATAATTTTATTTCTTTTTTCTTTTGACTGTTGACTTACCATCATGAACAAAATTAACAAATAAAGATGTGTTTGTTTCAGCATTAGCTATATATGTGGTATGATGCTGACTCAGCTTCTATCAGTTGTGGGATGACTTGTTTCACTGTAATGAAATCTTTCTTTGGTAATTTCACATTTGATTAGCTCCAGAATCTTTTATTCTTTTTCTTTTTAGAATAATATTAAACCTTCAGTTGTGACAGTCCTTGAAAGTGCCTATACCAATATCATTCTCTTCCACAGATAATTTATGGCCATCATCTTTTTTACTATTGACAATAGTAGATTCGTTCTTTTTTTGGCTTTTGTTCTGTTCAGTTGTACAAACAGCTGTTAGGACGAAGATAAAGTTACTGTACTAGAAGTAATTGTGGAATCAGCAATAAATCATTATTTCATTTATGCTGGGGTCTTAAGGAGATTATTTCACTGATATAAAATTTTGTCAAATTAATTGGATCAAAAAAACATTTTTATCATGTAATACATGTAATATATAGTGAATTTAGTGAATTCATATTATACTCGTATTGTAGTATTTATTTTGTGGATTCAGCTACGGAATTAACTTTTTATCAATTTTCTTTAAATTTCCTTTTTAATATTAAGTCTTTAAAATGGTGAGTTAACATATAAACATAAAAATATATAAAATCTTATATACTTATGTAATTATCTTTATTAAAGAGCGATCCTATAGAATGTGCCCTAGATCTTATGAGACGTCTTCCACCACAAAAAACTGAAGGAAACCTTCTACAACTCATAGATCTTGTACCTCATCTTCATGAAGATATAATAAACGCTGTTGACCAACCTTTAAAAATTGGTAGATGTAAAAAAGAGGGAAAGGATTATATTTTATGTGCCTTTAACAAAGATGGAGAATCATATCGGTATAATAAATATTTTATATGTTAAAAAAAAAGTTTTTTCAAGACAGGATTTTTTGTTTATTATATATAATTTTTTAATAGCTCTCCTTGGTCAAATAAATATGACCCATATATCGATGATGCCATATTCCCATCTTCAAGAATACGTAAATTAGAAGTAGCTGCCAATGAGGCATTTAATACATATCGAGAGATGTAAAATAAGCTTCATATCTATCAATCATTTTTATTTCCATAAAATTACTCTATAATATCTAAATTTTGATAGGTACTATGAAGGTGGCGTTTCCTCAGCTTATTTTTGGGATGATCCTCCAGATGGGTTTTCCGGAGCTATACTATTTAAGAAAGGCAAAAAGAGAAACGTTTTTATTTATTTTATGTTCAAGTTATATTCACACACACACACACACATATATATATATGTTTTTTATAACTTTTTGTCATAAATTTTGTTAAATAGTTGGTGACGGCGTTCGTAAAATGAAAGGTGTATGGGACTCTATTCATGTCTTTAAAGCAAATGAGCGTGGTCGCAAAGCTCAATATAAATTAACATCTACTGTCATGCTTTATACAATTACAAATAAATCTGATCTTGGAAATATGAATTTATCTGGAAGTATGACAAGACAAGTAAGGCCAAAAATTTGTGATGTGTTCCAGGGCTGGCTGCATAACACCAAGTTTAGCCAAGACAATTATTACTAAATATGGATTTAACACCTTTATGCTGTCAGCCCTAATGTGTTCAAATATTTTTTATTTAAAGGCTTTTTTGATTCATTATAAATATAGTTTGAGGCAGAATATCCATTTGATGACCCCTCAGCACATATCGCAAATATTGGTCGTATGGTTGAAGACATTGAACTTAAAATGCGTAATTTGCTTCAAGAAGTTTATTTTAGTAAAACAAAAGATATAGTTAATGGTTTACGTTCAGTAAATTCCCTTATCGAAGCACAAAAACAAATGGAAGTTCAAAAGGAGTTGGTTGGGAAGTTATTAGAAAGAAAAGCATGAAATTTTATATACATTTTTATATATTATTATATTATATTTATTTATTAAAAAAGAAGTTATCTAGTTAACTAAAGATCAAGTAAATGACACGTTTGTATATGGAGCATTCTGTTACAAAACCGATAAGTAATAACAATATCAATTATTTTTAACATTAGTTGTTATAATTATTGAATTGTGTCATAAGATCTGTGATATTAGAGCTACCAGGAATTTGATTATGAAACTGTTGTAAATTTGGTGCAACATGTTGGGGTTGATGTTGAGGTAAAGGAAGAGTATTATTAGGCTGAGGAGGAGGCATAACATTTGGATTGTTAACATTATGCTGGTTAATCATTGAAGTATTAAAAGGCATAGTATTATGAGGGAACACTTGCGTATATCGTTGTTGATTTGGAGCATTTGCAGGCGCCAAATTTCCAAGTATTTGTTGTACATCAAAATTTTGTGGTTGTGCAGACATAAAACCTGGCTGATGTTGTAAATTGGTACCAGGTGAAACTACTTGAATGGGCTGTGTATTTTGGGGGACTGTTGGCTGCTGTTGCTGTTGCTGTTGTTGCTGTTGTAAACTACCAAGCAAATTAGCAAGTGCGGCAAAATTAACATTATTTAATGAAATTGGATTAATATTTAATGCATTTGGCTGTTCTATAATTGGGGCAGCCTTTTGTGTTTGAGGTAAAATTTGTTGCCCACCAGTTAACATATTGTTAGGGACCGATGAAACATGAGCTCGAGACAATAATCCAACTGCATCTTCTATTCTAATATTGTTATATTCTAATAATTTTTAATTTAAGTTAATAAATAGGTTCATCTACATTATTTATAATCAAAGTATTAAAAAGAGAAAAACTAACCATCATATTTTACATTATCTTGAGAACGTTGATGTTCAAAAATTTGCATATTAACCCTACCATTCATTATAAGGGCTCTTTCTAAAAAGACAACCGCATGCACGCCTTCTACAATCATTTGACGAACAACTGCTTGAATTTGAAGTTTTCTAGATAAATGAAGTGTGTGAACAGAGATCTTTGCTTCTCTGAAAGCATTCTCTGCTTGCCACAAATAATTCCTAAAAACAATTCATATATATAATAACGATCGATTGATTTTTAACAAACAATAAAAATCAATTAAAATTTTTAACAAACAATAAAAATCAATTAAAATTTTTAAGATACCAACCGATCAACTTCTTCAAGGACAATTATTTGACATTCTGGTACCGCATTGCCTTGCCTTCTAGGTAAAGGAAATTCATCATTAGCCTTGTCATGTAATTGTGACCTATTATCTCGACTTTGTTTTTGTTCTGAATAATCTCTATTAGGAACTCTATATGGTTTAGATCTATGGGAGTTTTTTTGGTCACGGTGATCCTCCCTATATGAATCACGGCTATGTCTTCTTTCATTGCCTTCCTTATTATAATGCCAATTATTATGGGTTTGAGTATGATGTCCTCTGGCGGGTGAATATTCTCTTTTGTTATTATTATGCCAATGTAATTGTGACCTATTATCTCGACTTTGTTTTTGTTCTGAATAATCTCTATTAGGAACTCTATATGGTTTAGATCTATGGGAGTTTTTTTGGTCACGGTGATCCTCCCTATATGAATCACGGCTATGTCTTCTTTCATTGCCTTCCTTATTATAATGCCAATTATTATGGGTTTGAGTATGATGTCCTCTGGCGGGTGAATATTCTCTTTTGTTATTATTATGCCAATTATTTTTATTTCCGCCTCTTTGATTCCAACGTTTTTCATGATGATGCCCAAAATTATTTTTATGCCCAGTATCTTGATTTTGCGAACGGTGATGTAACTTACCATGAGAAACCTCCAATCCTATTATAAAATTAAATGATATATTAATTAATTAATGATTAATTTTATATATAAAATAAAAAAAACTTGCCTAATCTCAATCCATGTAAAATTCTTCCATTCTCTTTCTCGATTGCTTTTTTAATACTCTCAGTATTATCATATTGGATAAAACCAAAGCTATTTTTAATAGATATTTCAAAAATTTCTCCATAAGGAGAAAAGATGTCATAAAGCTCCTTTTTAGTAGTCGAATGAGTGGATAAATTTCCCAAAAATAAACGAGATCCTGGAGGCAGAGCTTGGAATCCAGCATCTGATAATTTACGCAAACTAAATGGGGCCTTATTATGATTATGATTATTAACATTGCTATTATTGGCATTATTATTATTATTATTATTATTATTATTATTATTATTATTATTATTATTATTATTATTATTATTATTATTATTATTTTCATCAGATTTTTCGTTTCCTATTTGGGAATTTGGAGAGCAATGATCACGAAACCTATGGTGATATTCTATATCAAAATTTTGATCAGTATTATCTAGATTATTAGTTTGGGTATTCCAATTAGGATTAGCAATATTGAAATTTGGTCGTTGTAAAGTTTGTTGTCCATGTTCAAAATTCATCGACTCTTCCTTATTATTATTATTACTATCACCTTGGTCATTATTATCATTATCATTATTATCATTATTATTAGAAATATTATTATTGTTATCATTATTATTAATGCTATTGATTCGAGATTCATAAAGGCCAGACTCATTTGAAGAAATATTTGTGTTGTTTTTAACTTCTTGAACATTGGAAGAAACAAGCTCCATATTATTACTTTCAATTTGAATATTGTCATTATCTTCATTTTTAGGTAGTGGTTCACTATTATTAATAGGTTCTTTTGCTTTTTCAATCATTTCTTGACTGGTGTTTTGATTTGGCGCATTAATATGAGTGGTTTGTTCATTTGATGATGGCAGCGATGATGAGTCAAGCAATGGATTTGTAGATGTATTTTCAAATACAGGGATTTGTAAAGGCACTATCTCTTCTTGGTTTTGGGTCGATTCTAAAGCTTCCATTCTTTGATAATTTGTATTAATAATCTTTTTATTGTTAACAGTTGGATTTTTTCAGTTAATAGAGGTTGTTGACTTGCATCACTAAATATATTATTATTATTATATAAAAAGTAATCATCTGCATAGTATTTGATCGACATTAAATTATTACTAATAATAATAAGAAAAATCAAAATTCATGATCGGGTTAATATAAAGAGATGGAGAATAAGATATTAATAATGACTTAATAGAAATAGTGAAAGTATAGTATAGATTTTGCGCCAGAGAGACCAAAGAATAGGTTGCAATTAATTGCTCTGGTATTTTTATTATTGTTGTTTAATCCTTCCTTTGTCCCCATATTGTTGTATCATATTCATCACAATGTTTATAATGGTTCCTTTAATTAACTAATTAAATCAGGCTTCTTGGAATTTTGAACCAGAAAAAGGACTGTTCTTGATAACTGTCACCCTTGAAATGTAGATCTTTTTTAAAATGTTATTTTCAGAGTTTCACGCGTTTCTATTGAAAAGCTCTCATGTAACAATAATTAGTCACTTAATTACTAACAATAATGTTTATTGTAGCATTAATGTTTGCTTAGACAGATCTATGGTTAAACGATGGATTATTGTTACGCAAACATCAAAAACATTCTAGTTGATATATATTATTAATGGGAACAGGTGATGAATGATACTATTATTATCAACGATTCATATTGTATATATAACACTGTATTAATCTTTGTTTTCTTCAAACGGATCCACAGTACGTAATATTATTACCTGCTACCCATTAATAATACCAACTAGAATATTTTTGATGGTCGCGTAACAATCATCCGTCGTCCAACCAACCATAAAAGAAAACAAACATTGATACAATACAATGTTATATATACAATAATTATCATTAGTAATATCAAATAGGGAATTTTGATATTGATGTCCTTGGTATTAGATATAGTGATAGTGATGCGATCTGCGGATATTCGTCATCCGTTCATCCGTCATTTACCTCTAAAAATTAATCCATACATCCGTTGGATTAATGGAAACTCGCATAATCAGTAGGATGGAACGTGTGATCCGGATGATTCACAGATTGAACGGACCAGGAAATTTTTAGAGGCATCAAATAACATAGAACAACCCTGCTCTTTTAACACCAAAAAAAATGTCAATCAAACAGATACTATGCAAACAAACGGCATTGAAATCCATGCGTAGTAGGCATTGCTAAATGCATTTTATTATTATTAAAAATGACCATCATATAACTAAATCATAACTATTAATGACAGTACTATTATCTGTTACTACTAGTAATGCATTATATATCAATTAGGGTATTTTGATCTTTTTTCTTTAAACAATAATTAGTTCATTTAACCATAGATCATTTTTTGAAGGAAACTAATAAAATTCTTTTTAATGAATGAATGAGTGAAACGAAATAAATCAACGATTCTAGTTACATTACTCAAGGATCCTTATATCTTTTCATTAACCCTTCTATTTTTTAAAAAATTAGTAGTAATAATAATAATAATAATAATAATAATAATAATAATAATAATAATAATAACAACAGCAACAATAATAATGATACATTAAATAACAACACTCCACTGTTACGGACTTTAAAATAATCTAGTATGTAATAGTTGGTTGGTACTTGTATATTTTCAAAGACGGCATTTTTGATTAATTTAGTGAAAAACATGCACACTCTCTATAGTTCTTCTTGATTGTCTTGACAAATTAGCACTGTTAAGTGAGAAAAAGTAATGAATGCAATGCAATTTTGAATGCTCAACTGTGTACAAATGTATACCGATACGGTGTTTTTCCAATTGCATTGCAGAATGAAAAATTTTGAGATACGGCTTTATTTAGAAAACATTTGATTATTTTCATAAAGACAGGGGTAGTTGATATTATTATTATTATTATGTTTATATTTATTGGTTAATTTAATAATAAACAGATCATGGTCATGTGATAGATACTTCGTATTTTGAAATAAAAATTGTAAAAAAAAAATAAAATGCCTCCAAAATCAAAAAAGAAAAAGAAACCCGCTAATCCAGCACGTGGATTTGCTACAAAAAGTACTCCCTCAAAAATAAAAGATACAGAAACAACTGATGACAATGAATCAATTAAAGGTGATTTCTGTTGTTTTATTATTATAGAGTTTTATAATTTTTTGTTTATTTCGTCTATATATATATAGTAAATGCGTTTTGATATCTTTAACAAAAGTAAACAAAAAGTTAATTAATTATAATGATTTTTTGAAGTATTATTGAAACCAAAGAAAAGGTTACCTGTGGCGAATTCATTAATACGATAATTGGTTCGAAAGCATATTACATTGTGTATATGTTTTATTATTTACATGGTGAGATTGATTTTACTGTAATAAATAAAAACACCTCTTTTGGAGAAAATAAGAGGGAAGAAAAGAATGAATATACTTGATAAGCTAGAGAGAAGAGAGAAGAGAGTATATAGTAAAAAAAAAAAATATGAACATAATAATTTTTAATACGACATTATTATGCTATTTTTTTTTTTTTTTGGGATAAAAAAGCTTTTAAATAACAAAATTTTGACGTTGTACGAGTGTAGATCTATATATATTAAGCTAACATAAGTTGGTCATGCGATAAGTCGGTTTTGACCTAACTCGGCCAAAATTTTATTTTCACGTAATAATTGATCTATACAGTGATCTACAACCTGGAATTTTTTTAATAAATATAAATATACGCAACGTTTTTTTTTTCTAAAGTATAAATAATAGTTGGTGATGTTTTGAGCATAGTGGAAGTTTGTTGTTACATGAAACGTTATACAGAACTCATTGCTTCTGAAACTTCGCCAGTATATAGTTGTTACCTCTCTAAATTGGAGATCAAGTTCAGATCCAATTCAAATCCAGTTTATCACTTACTTTTTATTGCCAGAATGTTTGCCGTGTATTGTAAAGCTACGCTGCACAATATAAAAAATTAGTGTGACATTTCAAGTTTTCACTATGCTGATGTTTTGTACAAGTAAATACTTTTAATTGGATGCTTCATTATTTAGATAAAAAAAAAAGATTGAAACTTTAAATTTATTTATTTTGATGATTTAATATATATAATAATATAAAAATAATAATAGTTTCTGGAGAAGTGCCTGAAGAACCTGTGGTTTCCAAAAAGTCAGAACAACTTTATGAAAAAAGGTTGATTATCAAATATATAGATGAAACTGGAAAGGAGCCTGTGACTAATGAGGATTTATCCGAAGAAGATCTATTAGGAGTAAAAACAAGTAAGTTTTTTTTTGGAAGAAAAAATTTTGATGAATAAATAAATATTTATACCAGATGTTTGAATGAATGGTAGTTATGATGATATCAACTATTAAGTAAACAACTAGAAGCTGTTTCTGACCTATTTTTGATATGATTTAGAAATTTATCTGAACTCTATAATTTGTTATGTTATATATATATATAATATAAAATCTATATATATATTACTTATCATTCATTTAATTGTAAAAAAATTTTTTTCTTAATAATAATCAGATACAAAAATAGTAAAACCTCGTCCACAAACCTTTTCTTCCATACCATCATTGTTGACAGCTTTTCAAAATGAATGGGGATAGTTTAATGTTAGAATCTTTTACTTTGAAACGAAAATATCAAGAAGCACAACAAGAATTGAGCCATGCTTTGTTTCAATATGATGCAGCTTGTTGAGTGATTGCCAGAACCATTAAAGAAAGGGATGTTGCAAGAGAGTATGTTTTTTAAAAAAAATTTTAATTCATTAACTAAGCAAGCTTTATAATTGTTGATTATATTTAATTTTAAAATTTTATTTTAAAAAAAAACAAAAAAAGTGCATTAGCAAATATCAAATCTCATATTGAAATTCAACCACCTGCAGATACATCTACATCTGAGACACAAAAGATGCAGGTTGATGAGGAAAAAGGCATAGGTAGTTCAATCATTGAAAAATTAGTAGAAGCCAGTGTAGTGTATGTAATTTCTATTAACTAATTATCATTTGATTCTAAAAAAAAAAAAAAATATATATGTGCATTCTAAAATTAAACTATACTTGATTAAAAAAAAATTTTTTAAATTAGTTTATCAAAGGGATGTAAAAAAAGAAAACCACCACCAAGCCTTACACCTGCTGATACAATCAAAACATTTACTCAAATTTCTACAATTCCGGCCTTACACAACTCCTCAACGTCTGGAATATTATGTATGGATTTAGATCAGACAGAAAAATTAGTTTTAACAGGTGGCATTGACAAAAAAGCATTGATTTATGATCTTGAAGAAGGTAAAGTAGTAAGTCCATTGAAAGGCCATACAAAAAAAATTACAAATGTTTTGTGGAGAGAGAAAGCTGAAGCTAGTGAATCAGATATTGTATTTACAGCATGCACTGATAAAAGTGTTAGAATTTGGAATAATACCAAAAAAGGTAAAAAAGTTAATTATTGTTTATTTATTTATTTTCGAGTGGAAATATAAAAAACTCAAAAAAAATTTTTTTCTTAATAAAATCAGGATATAAAACCTCCAGTGCCATTTCAATACACAATGCAGAAATTACTGGTATAGCTTTAAATCCCACCAAAGATTATTTGGTATAGTTTCTGAAGATTTGACCTGGGGTTTTCATGATATTGCTACTGCACAAACACTGGTTAAAATAGAAAATAGTGATGTAAAGATGGTTTGTATTTATATTTATTTATTATTTATTTGATTTTTTACTATATAAATAACCTGCTTACTCATATATTTATATATAATAAATGTATTAGGATATTCATGTGTGAAATTTCATCCTGATGGTCTTATATTAGGAACAGGTACAAATGATTCAGTTGTTAGAATTTGGGATATAAAAGCACAACAAAATGTCACAACAATGGAAGGACACACAGGAAAAGTTAAATCATTGTCATTTTCAGAAAATGGATTTTACTTAGCAACAAGCTCAGAAGATAATTTGATTAAAATATGGGATTTAAGAAAACAAACAAATGTCCACACTTTAACATTAGAAAATACCAAGATTAATAAAGTTATTTGGGATTACAGTGGTCAATATATAGCTGTTTGTGGCTCTGATATAAGGTATAATATATCCTATAATAATTAACTATAACTGATTTTTTTGCAAGTTATAATAAATATTTATTCTTTGCCCTTTTATCTCCTTTTTTTTTTGATTGTTCGGAATATTTCAATCTAAACATGGAATGAATTGATTCATATTACTGAAAATATTGGTGAAATTACAGATACGTATGAAATTTGGTAGTTTGGCCAAATTTTTGATTTACATCTGGGTTAGATCATTTCTTGAGAATATTTGGTACTACAGAAGCAGAAACAATAACAGAGCCTGAAGTACAAGAATAATTGGTGTATATTTATATTTATAAAAGAATTCTTGCTTTAGAAATTATTGGTTTGAAAAGTATTTTTAATATTAATATAATCCTTTTTTAATAATTAATTTCCGTTTTTTACTCTTAATTGAATTACTTTGTAATTGTGAATTGCTGAAAAAACAAACCAGTTTTAAAAATAGTAGTATTATGATACAATCACATAAACAATATATTTGATTTTTTGAGAAACACATCAATATTAACATCAAGTAATATTTTAAATGATATTTGTGCATTACTATTACCCTTAATGTTGTTTCCAAGACCTCAATTAGAAGTTTCCAGAGTCCTCCTCTTACACAATTTTAATTTGTGAAACTATATTTTTTCCTAACCCCCCCAGAATGTCTGTCATGACAGCAGCAACAACAGTCCAAGCAACTTATTCAAAAAAACAATTCTAAACACTTAGCATTGAGTAAGTTTGAATATAATCTGAAGAAAGTTTTAATGATGATAATGATGATAACAATAATAATTATAACCATAATAATGAAAGAAAAAAAGAATTACATGACTTATCAAATCTTTTGCTTCAATGCAAAAAGATATCAATATATATCTAACAGATAAATGAAAGGAATTGATGATGATTATAAGGATGTTGAAGAAATGGAAGAGGAAGAGGAGGGAAATGAAAAACTTAATTAACAACATTTTTATTACAAGATAGTATCTTGCAATCATATTTATTGGAAAATATCATTGCATACAATTGGTCATATTTTATCATACTTTAATTTTTTAGCTACTAAAATTAATTGAGTATTAAGATTATGCAAAAAAATTAATAGTAAAAATAAATGAAATGTTAAAATGAGTCATTTGCTAATTCTTTCTATAGTATCTAAATAAAATTTATAGCTATTGAAAAAATAATAACTGTTGCTCACTACCAGACCAATACAAGGAATTAAAATTTAACATTATCAATATGATTATGATTTAACAATTTGTAATATATTTTCAATATTAATTAATAAGAATTTTAAATTTTACATCCGCAAACAAGCTCTCAATTGTCAAGGCAATGACAGCTGCCATCAGCTACACATGGACACCTTCCATTTGCAATATTTATAACTGATTGAAGATCACCTTGTCTTATTGTGCTATGTCCAATATGTGAATTTGCATTTTCAAATAATGAAATTAAATAATGTTCAGATGCTTGGTGAAAAAACAGGAGACACCGTTCTGGGAACACAAAATTTTAACCCATGCTATTTGTTGATTGACCAATTAAAATCGCGAATTTGATAAACGTAGAAATAAATATG